AGTGGCTAGCGCCTTTTCAGCCTCAAGTGCTAGAGTTTCGCCTAACTGAAACTGTAAGATATATGAAAAGTGATGTGTGTTACAATAATTTCGCAAATCAAAATTATTTTCATGCGAATAGCTACATACAATTTTGTCGTCTTGCAGCAAATCCCAAAGTAAAGTATTGCCCGGTTGACAAACGTCATTGATTTTGAAAGACGGCTGTTGTGCTTGTGGTGGTGTCTGTTGCGGTGACAACGGTATTGCCTGTGGCTGTTGCACACTACTCTGCAACACGCGCCCTGCAAATTGAGCTTGGGGTGATACAGTCTTAGCACTATTGCCCAATATGTCAGCATCGCTGGCGTCTCCAGTGCGCCGCACCATTACTGCTGCCAAAGCTGCAGCAATAGCAGCGGCATTGACATTCGCAACTTGTTGCTGTATCTCGGTATCCACACGCGCTGCCACGGCAGCCACTGCGGCTGCATTCGTAGCGGTGTCATTAGCGCCCGTTACAACATCCGCAGAGTCGGCATCGACTGACTTTTGTTGTTGCAATTGTTGATGTTGTTGTTGTTGAATACTCGAATGTGCCGCAACCATAGCAGCGGCGGCAAATGCGGGCGGTACGCAATTATGCGAAACCCGCAATGCATGCAGTTGACTTAATTCCTCTTCGCACGGCGACACATCCTCGTCATCAAAGTCGGCCATATTCTTTTCGGATTTGTTACTCATAGGCGATGAATAGCCATCGATTTCGGCACCATTCAGAAGTTCACTAATATGAGTCTCATCAATGGCGCGTATGTAAGGACCCTCACCACGCAGATGTTTTAATACGGCGCTAGGCACAACTTGACCGCCGGTGTCACTGCAGTCATCGCTGTCATTTAGTACTTCGCCATCAGCTTCGTCGGCATCGTCAGCATCATCACTGCTAGCATCCTCATCCTCGCCACCATCCCAAATAGCTTCAACAATTTCGTGCGCCAACCGGGTAAGCGGCAAATTGCTGTTTTTTCGACGCTTCCGTGACTTTTTACGATGCAATTGAACATCGAGTGCGGCTTGTTGCAGATCTTCCTCGCTACTAGAATTGTCAATGATATTCACAATGCGGTGATTTTGCATCCTGCATTATTGAAAAGTTTTGTAATAAAAAAAAGGTAAGAATTATATTCAGTTTACCATATATTAAGATGAACTTATAATTGTTTGTACTCACTTAATATCGATCTTTTTATTTATCAAGTCCTCAACATTTGAGCGGCTTCCCTTATCTGTAGATTATAAGAAGTCATTAAAAAAAATATTATCGACATTTACCATAAATCACCTTCAGAACTGGCTTCACAGACATGACGCCTATGACGAGCTTGCTTACAAGGTGGAGGTGCTCCAGTGTCCGAACCCACATTTTCTATGTCAATCGGGCTTTTACGGGTGCCACTAGCTAAGCTACTATCATCACCATTGCCGGGATCATCGTCAGAATTACTGCCGTCCATGCTGCCGCTGTCCGAACTGGAAGCAGTCACATGGGCGGCTAATAGATGATCCTGCATCATGCTCATCTGCGCGCGAGAATTATCTCGCGACCAAATAAGTTTCGTTAGAGCAGATGCAATATAAATGCTCTGCTCTGTGTGCTCTTTGGGATCCATGCGACAAAGTAATGAATACAAATGCATGGCTGGACGAGGTGCCAGGTTTTTTACCAATGCCGGCAATATATCGAAAATTGTCTTGGAACAATGTTTAAGTTGAGTAGCTTGCCATATTAGTTTAATATGCTCTTCGGTAATTTGATTTTCCACTGCTAGGAAATTTAGAACTACATGCGCTTGTTTTATTACTTCGACATGTAGGTTTGGTCCGAACAAATGTTGTATAATCTGATTTTCGGTTAGCCAGTTGGCAATTTTCTGTCCCACAATCTCAACCTCACCAACAGTTTCAGTGGTACATATTTCGTTGAATAGATTTATATGTGCGTTTATCTGTGCCATACCTATGGAGAAATATGAATGAGTAGATACTTTCTAAAAACTGTTATTATTGAGATGTCTCACCTGCCAAACGCATTGTTAGCGTAGTTGATGTAAAGTACTTAAATGCCAGTGCTAGGCCCTCAACATCGAAAGTGACCGACGCATCTAGCGGATCACGCACAGCAGACCATACAAAGTCGGCCATCGCTCGTGTGGCTGCCGAACGTAAATTTTGATCCGATAACTTGCACATGTACTGCAACACCCGACTACGCAACGGTACAAACAGCTGCACAATGCAACTGTAATTTAACCACAGTTTTATATTTGAAACTGTGGCAGTAATAGCCTGGGCGGTCGTGACAGGAAGATCCGGCTGTTCAAAGCATAACATCATTGCAGCGAAACCACCCGAATTGCAAAACAATGTAATATTACGGAGCAAGTAAACCGGTATCTCATTGTCATGTAAATCACAAAAGATTGCCAAATGTTGCGCCTCTTCAGCAGAAATGTCGTCCAGGCGTGCATGCGTGCCGTGTTTATAAGCAATATACAATGGGAAATTCAACAAAAACACTTTTGACACTAATATGAAGAGTTTTTCAACTTCTGGCAATATCCATGGTTCTTCAGTTATTTGTGATAGAGAAGTTGATGGTGATCCACTGTTTAAATTAGATTTATAGGAATTCGCTAGTTCAGCATTTTGTGCGGCACCTGCTAATGAAATATTTGTATTCGATTGCGGTAGATGCATTGAGGGTGCGGGGGGTGGCGGTGATGTTGGAATTATTGGAGAATTAACACTACGTGAAGAAGGCGATACACAAGGTGGAGATGAACTTGCATCTCTTTTAGGTTTCTTACGCTCATTCTGCTCTTCAATGTCGCCATCTTCATCCTGAACATTTCGTTTTGGAACTTCTACTGTCGAATCTATTGAATCCTTTTCAGCGTTATTATTTGATGTTAAAGTTGTGTCTTTGGCTGAATTGCTAGCGCCTGCCAATTGCGCATTGACCTGTGCCTGAGCTGCAGCAGATGTTGACTGGCCCAAACTGCATGCTGTCAGCCGCTTGTAGTCATCAATTAAACGTTCAATATGCTTTAAATGGTGTACTGCCAAACATATCATAGATTGAACTACAAGATTAAAACGTTCAAAATTTTTCGGATCCCGATATAGACACATACATTGGCGTTGTGGCCATGCCTGTATGTAACCGAAAGCTGTTTCAATCTCGCTTTTTAAAAGAATCGAATGTTTTGCATCATTGCTGGTTATACGAACTTCATCTAAAAATCAAATCAATTTTAAACAAAAATTAAGTTAATATATTTTCATTTTGAAGTTGCTTATTTGCATAGATTGTGTATGTACCCCGCCCTCTCAGTGACCTACTACCGTATAGGTATAGACTCAAAAACCCGTTGTCATTCACAACTTACCGGCGAAATTATTAAAATTTAAGTATTTTCAAAATGCTTCAATACTTACACGACTCCAGCAAATGCAGAAAATCTGAGCAAACGTCACACATTGTTCCACTTTATAATTATTGTTATACGCTCAGATCTCCGCCACCCTCTGTGTAGCCGTAGTTGCACTTTGCAATTACACTTGTTTGCTGTCGATGGCGGTGGAGCTACCGCTACCGTTGATTCGTCTTTTATTCAGCCACAACGGTCGCTCCGACGTTGCCTTTTTCTGTGCTGTTGTGGTCGTTGCTGCTGCCGTTGTCTCTGCTTTTGTATTTGCTTGTGTTGGTCCGAGTCTACAATTACTACCTTACCCGAGTTTCTTTGCTTGCTACACTGCCTCGTCGGGATTTTCACTACTGCGACTCCCATTTACTCAAAAAGATATCGTTGAATACAAATCCTTGCATTTCAATATTCGTCAATGCAACAATCTTTTATTTCAATTGATGATATTTTTTCGAAATAACAATTTTTCACACAAGAATTTTTCCTTTCCTTTCTTCTCGCGCAGAATTCCTCACTTTTCACTTTTTGACGCTTTTCGTGTCTTTTTCTTATCGTTACATTTTCTGCTTTTGAGAAATGAGAAATGGAAGAAGTCGATGAACGTTATTTCGCAGTAGGTTGCCAGATATCCTTTTTCAAAACACCACCCACAACTTACTGCCGGCCGGAACATATCTTGAATATCAATTTAATACAATTCGAACTTTCTATAAATGTGATCTGTGTATTTTTATTTAAGATATTTAGTGTTTGTTTGAAAACCTGCGTTTATTTTATAGTTCTGAAGTTGTTAATATAAAAGGTATGTGTAGGTACGGGAATGAAGTATGTTTACATATAAAAAAATCTCGTTCTAGGCTGGTTCAACAATCTACATAGAAAAAGGAGATTATCAGCTGTCAAATGTGTTGTATTTGTTTTCTTCTTGGTGAATATTAATAAAAACATTGAAATTATAATTTTAAAGATATGGAAGAAAAAAAGAAGGCGATTGTGTACTTAATGCTCAGATTGATGCTAGAAATAAGAAGTTGGCAGAAATACGGAAAAGACGACAACTCAGATTGAAAAAAATATAAACCAAAGCGTTTGTGGAAACACGTAAGCGATTACATTACTTTTTTTTAAATTTCCAAAACAAGTTACCCGCTTGATATTGAATTGTGGGAAAGGTACGGTAATTTTTGGGAGCTAACTCGACGTTGTTTGCAATAGTGGCCAATTTTTCTAGGAAAGCTTCAGGTTATCGATGTTTCTTTTTTATCTTAATGTTAATATGTATACATGCGATAAAACCAAATATATCTCTTCAGTAACTATTATATAAATATTTTCTGCGTTTCCCTTATAGATTATAATCTGCCTCTCTGTCGGTCCTTTTAACTTTTGAAAAGTTTTATTTTATATTTGAAAACTTCACATATACTTCTGATTTCGAAAAAATTGGATAGTTTCGATTTTACTAATAATACTAACATGTAAATCACAACATTTAGTTCCTTCTATTTCTGGCAACTCTATACTAAATGCATGTTTGTGAAATTGCATTTGATTGACATTCGCAAAATGTCAAAGTAGTTGAATATTTGCATTTATAAGATTACTTAGTATTTTCGACAGCATAGAGTTGCAATTATTATGCCTAAAATGTTTACAGACATTTGGATATACTCATATAAATCGCTTATTTAGAATGTTTTGTTTAAATAATTTTAACGCCAAATTCTTTATTGTTTGTTTTAATAAAGCATTTGGTTATAACTAGATTTTAATTGCGCTACTTTTAATAATAATAGTTGGTACTTTCTGAAAAGAGTTGCTACTTTCTGAAAAGAGTTGCGGCTTCCTTTTTCAAAGAGTACTGTTTTATATTTTACCAAATCAACCGCGAAATGGAATAAGGAGAATGAAAGACTTTTGTGGATGCTCCAAAATAACAAAATGCAAAAATTCAACCGAATGAAAAATTAGCAAATTTGCATAATTACAAAGTTGAGTGCTTAATAATTTGCCATTTATTGAAAATAAATGGTTTTGTGATTAAATAAAGTTGGAGAAGAAATTTCTCAGTAAGCTATAAAGTGTGTGAAATTTTAGTCACGTCGTCGGCCTGGAGCTGCATGCAGCAGATATGTAAAAAATATTCGCGGTAGCAGAAACCTAAGCAGCGCCTGAAGCAGCAGCACAGTGTGGTGTATTGTATGTGATATGTGGAGTAGTGTTGATAGAAGCAAGGGAACAAATAGACGAGAGAAGGTGGTGCGTGTGCGTGAGTGCGTTTACTCTTGCAATAAAAGTAGTGGTAAAGCGAATAAAAGACAATTGCGCCAATGGTATAAAGAAAAGGAAAATAGTTGCATGGAAGGAAGAGAAAACACATTAAACAAAAAACATTTTGTTCAACTAATTAATTAATATTTATAAATATATTTTGAATCAAGATAGTAGTAAAATTTTAACGTATTCCATGTACACAGGCAATGAATAGTCACGTTGCTAGGTTTATTAATGTTGCTCACCATACTTTGGAAACTTTATAACTTTACAAACCTCAGTTGAAATAAAATAATAATTCGGTCGAAATGTCCGAAATGAAGCGAGTTTCATTTACAACTATAAGTAGTACAACTTCGGTATCCAACTTCGGAGCTGGTGGGAGTGCTGCTACCGGTGTTGTAGGTGCAATAAGCGGCGGTGCTTTATCAACGAATACTTCTCGTTTCGGTGTTGATTTTTTTTCTGGTCAACCAAATCCAGATGAGTTAAACGTCACGGATGCGCACTCTGATCGCAAAAATAATAAATCAATGCGACTTACAATAGAATTGTTTCCCACAGATTCTTGCAAGTATCCCGAATTCAATTATTCCAGACTGTTGCATTTAGAAAAGGTAAATTTCTATTTTCGGGTTAAAATAATACAAACAAATATATATGTATTGTATTATATTATCTAATGTAGAAAAAGCAGAAAAAATTGAAACAAAAAACAAATGGTTTCTCTGATCCGTTCAATGACAATGACGATGATGTTGCTAGAATTGCGCGGGAATTGGAAAAAAAATACGCTAGTGCGTACAGTAGCGGTCGCGGTCGTAACAAAAAAGATGACCTCTGCGATATTGGCTTAGGATACGATGAATCTGACTCTTTTATAGATAACACAGAAGCCGTATGTAGCGCATTTTATTATTAACCATTTAAATTTAATAATTAATTTTGAATTGCATTACGCAGTACGATGAAATTATTCCAGAAGAATTGGAAACAATTGAAGGTGGCTTCTACATCAATTGTGGCCCTTTGGAATTCCAAAAACTTCACACTGAATCGACGACTACAAAAACGGACGAAATTATAAAAATGCCTACTCGACCGAGAAAGCGCATCATATCCTCATCTTCTTCGGATAGCTCGTCCAGCAGCGATGAAGATGCCGAAGAAGATGTAGATTCAGATGGTGAAGTGTCCAGTGCTGACACAGTAAAGGGCAGCAAAAATGGTAGTGCCATATCGCAACCTGAGGAAAAACGTCCCCGCGTCAATTCAACTGTTAATCCGACGAAAAAACCAAAGACCAACCAGGAGTGTAATACTAAGAAGGGGAAAAATGTCAAAAATACTGGAATCGGTAGTTCGTCTACGTCGAACTCACCCAAACCATCGTCGGTGGGTTCGGATTCCGAAAAAGAGCGCGGTCGACAAAAAGTTGTTAAGACAACAACAATCAAGGATATGCTCAAAGCAAAACGTGACAATTTCCTTAAAATGCAAGAAGGCGGAAATAATAGTCGACAAAGTGGCAACTCTGAAGGAAAAGCAATTAACGGCGAATTGAAGGCAACTGCTAGTAAGTCATCCGATGAAGACGATTCCTCAACTAGTGGTGAATCGGACGAATCCAGTGATGACAGCGACTCCCACGATAGTGAACCACAAGAGAAGAAAGCGAAAAATAGTATTGGGGAAAGCACAGAAAGTACGTATAAATGAAATAACCAAACCAGTTTCCTTTAAAAGAATCACAATGTATATTTTAGAATTGCGCACCAGCGATACTAAGCTTCCAGACATCGAAGCTGAAATTATTACGGATGTTCAACAGTTTAAGGAAATCGTAAAAATGAAGAATATGACTGGAAAACGTTTCCAGTTTGACGACTCGCTAGTCGAAGTATTTTTAAAGTAAGTTCAAATAGAGTGTATTTATATTGAATTGTAAAGAGTTTCATACATGTAAATTCTATTTAGAATCGATGAGGCATTGTTATGCATCGAAAAGAATCATAGAAATATGGTTTTTGCACACTTGGAGTATCATCTCATACTGCCTAAGTATTTCTTCTTGCGCAAAGCGAAACAGTTGCGTATTAAGGAAGAAAAAATGAAAAGCAAAAGAGCCCTTTGTAAGTTACGTAAGGCCATCATTGAAGCAATGCCTGGCGTTATTGCAAATTTCGAAGGAGAAATACGAAAACAAGCTGAAATGTAAGAAAAACCAATGTCTACTCAATCAATCTTGAACCATCTTATATAACAGTTAAATCATATTTTAGCGCCATTAATACAAATGCAGAGCATCCACCAAAAATGCCAAAAAAGAAATTCCCATGGAATAGCAACTTACGGTAAGCATAGGAATCCTTTCCAAAAATGCATTCTGAATTAATATTATGGTATTCTAGAAACTTACTTTACGACGTATATCAAGTACGTTGGACTTCATATCCAGTGCTGGGCACACGAAAGGAGACGCTTGAGGATTTCATCAATGTATTTTTGCGAGAAAAGGTCGTAGAACTGTGGCCAAAAGATTGGATGCGTCTCGAAGAACTACAACGCGAGATTGAAAAACGTAAGACGGCAGCCAAAAAGGCAAAAGAGAAAAAGAAAGAAAAAGACAACGGTAGCAATTCCAATTCGGGAAGCTCCACAGTAGCAAATATGACTGCTGGGTCGGGTGCTTCGAGCGCTGGTACACAAAACACGCCTGCCACTAACGCTTATATGAAACAGTTTGAGGAATTCGCTACAGGCAGCCGTAGCTCATACGCTAACTCCGATACGGAATCTGTAGCAAGTAGTAGCGCCTCGAATAGTTTAAAACGCAAGAATGGTGGAAAATGTGCTACCAAAGCAGCTAAACCACAAACACAAAGTAATATATCCAGTACCAGTAGCACCTATGACAACAGCAAAAAACCACAATTGCCACAGCAGCCACCTTCCTTTGCTCCTGCTACAACAAATTTAGAATTTGGTATGCAAAACGTTTTGAACAGCAACACCGCCATCACCTCAGCTAAAGCATCTAGCGCCATTCTACCACCGTTACCGATCCCAACCAGCGTCAGCCCATCCACTCAATCAATGTCATCTCAACCTAAACATTCCAAATCTGGGGAGACAAACGTACAAGTTATAGATTTAGATAACTACCGTTGTCCCAGCGATATATTGCTGACGTCTCAAAATATATTGCGACCGGGCAATAGTAACACTACAACAACGGGTATGCCCAACACAAAAACTGCCTTAGTGCTAAATGCACCAAATCGACGAGAGAGCAGTAGTGAATCGGATGGCGTGGAGATCGTTAGTATCTATCCCGCTACTGTTAGGGCACAGGTGGGGCCGTCACAAAAACAGCGATACAAGAAAAATTCAGCTTCGAACTACTCAGTGGACAACATGAAAATGAATGTATTCCAATCTGGTTCGTCCACCTTAACAAACAATAATAATAATAATAGTAACACGAACAACAATAATAGTCAAAACATAAAGAGTAAACAAATAGAGCCGTTGGTCGGAGTTTCAAATTTTGAAAAGCAAGCTGTTCGAACATTTAAAGATCTCGGGGTAAGACAACAATTTTATAACAAAATGCACGATTTGTTTTTAATTGTGACCGTTATTTGTTATTTATTAATTCTAAAATTGTAATATTTTAGGATTTGCAAAAACAAAAGACTAATCTATCATCAACACAAAATGGGTCGAAAAAAGATCACTGCGCTCAATGACCCGCAGTAGTATTTGATGCAGCCGATTTAAGCAATATTTCGGCAGCTGCGCTTTCGTGTTTCGCGCAAGCGCAGTCTGTAGCGAACGAGGGGTTCTTAACGACTAACACTGTAACTGGTATGACGATGGGCAAACACCCATTTGGCGCTTTGCCACCACTGCCATTATTTTTACCAACACATATGGAAGTTCCACAACTACCACCACCACCACCGTCGTCTGCCTCGGCAAATGTGCCAGTGGCGTTGATACAACCGCCTTTACCGACAATTGTAACATCTCCGCCGTCGTCATCAACGCTACCACCAACAAGCCAACAATCATCAGATTCGCAGCAAATACAGTCGCGAATTAGATTTTAGTATTTATATAAATGCAACTAAACTAGAGCAACAACATAAAATACATACAATTAAACTCTTTTAGACGAAAAATTGTTTTGCTACATTTGAAAAGGCGCATTTGCACTATACTTTTATATGTTGGTATGCGGACGTTAATTGCGAAGATGGCAACATTAAACTGGAGCATGTGTAATATTTTGTAATTTAAATAGCGATTGTATTCGGCACACAAGTATCTTCAGTCAACAAATATGTACTCGTTATGCGTCCGTTTCAACGGCAGTTCGATGATCATTTAATTTATTTATATCTTTAGTTACAGTTTTTTGCAATTATAAGACAATATGCAAAGAATCCACTCTACATAAATACAAACTTATACCTAGCATTTAAGCATGCGTTTTTTTTTTTTTTTGCTATTTATAAGTTAAATTTAATCTAATCAACTAGTTTGTGTCAACTTTGTTTGCCCTATATTGCATTTGTACTAGTTTTTCATTGCCCCCAATCTTTTCGTATTTTAAAATTATATTATAATTGTAATAAATTAGTTGAACAGCGATTATTAAAAAGAAAGAAATATTTTCTAACATCAATTAAGCAGCAAAAACTGTGCAGAAATGTTCGTTTCTACTTAAACTACTTTTAATGTTCTTGTCTACATAGTATATGGATCCAAAGGGTCCAGTCTAGTACATGAGTCATTCAATTTGATTTTTACGACTGCAAAAAGTTTAATTACTGAATAAAAGCATATAATACAAAAATGTTGTTTTTATTTTTTCTAAGTTTTGCTAAATTGCAAATATTTGTCTCGTTATTTGTTCATAAAAAGCGGCTTAGGAGGGAATATATGAAAATATCTTATTTGGTTAAAATCGGCAAACTTGATAAGTGTGCGTGTGCATACATATATATGTATATACTACTCTTCCTTATTTAAGCGATTTTTTGTAAATTACGGTGCAACCGCTTTCTTTGGAAAACAATCAATTGCATGTGCTAAATATATTTAATATGTGAAAGAATTTATCCAAATAAATTCAAAATTATTTTTTGATACAATATAAATTTACATAAATTTATTGGAATACATGCAAGTCAGTATCTTAAAGATGGGTAATTCCACGATTTTGAGTATGCATAAGTTGTATGTACGTAGTTGCATTTGGTTTTATGCCTTCTTCTTTAGCACGGGTTGTGGCCTGAAATTGAATAAATATATATATAATCCTAATTTAGTGATATTAAGTGATGTTTCAATTAATTGAATAATAAATAATGTTGTCTAACAAGTTATTAAGAGTAAAAGTATTGCTGTTTTAAATGTAAACAAAAGCTG